AATAGACCTAACATTATTTTCATTGTTAAATTTGCGGGTTTGGTTGTGTAGGCGTATGAGTATTTGAATTTAATGATTTATAATATTGTTCACTTTATTCGTGGAAGATACCTTAACAAAACGATGGATTATCGTCAAAAAACTTGAAAAAATTTACATTGACTTGTGAATTTTTTTACTAGAGGGATAACAATAGCTTTAGGTGTCCTAGCCATTAGAATTTTGATTTATAAATGTATAAATTTGAAAATAAGATGGTTTGGAGAAGTGGGAAGATGAGTGTAATAGACTTAGATTTCTCACAAAAAATTAAATTATTGAAGTATTTTTATTGTATAAGTGGATTAAACTGTATTTGGAGATCGACGGCCTCGTTTATATTTTATAACTGTAGCCAACACGTCCAGTCTCGTTTCATGAATTTTATCGATATGCTCTGACGTAACGACCTCTATTGGATAACCAGAACATTCGGCAAAATTTGGATAGTAAAGGTACAACAGAATTCATCAAACAACTTCATAACTATAAAAATTTATAGCTAACAGTGCCTATACTAATTTAAAAGCTTTTTAAATTCAACAAAAGCGGTTTTTAATTTGTGTATAACAAGAAAAGCATATCTCAGTTTATTTTCATATATTTAAAAATAGCTGTTGAATTCTGGTATCAATACACATAAGTTTTTTTTTTTCAACCTGATCCGAACTCATTCATCCAAGTAACACAATGATATCTTGTATTGTGTAATATAAAACAAAAATAATGAGAACATCTTGGGAAACAGACAAAAAAACATTTTTTGTATATTTGTATAACATTTTCGTCAGTACTTCAGACGAATTTTAAAGATAAAAAATATGAAAATGCGGCGTCTGTCACGTTCATGATCTTGTATATAATACTCCTAAACACATATTTCGCATAGTGCATGAAACATGCAAAGCAGTCGCCGTACTCTTTGTATTTTATACGACATTTTGTCATCTGGCCATCCCATTCGCAAACGTGGTTGGATTGCGTAAACTTCGAAGAATGCCAAATAACTTACAATGTTTTCGTCTACTTATACATTTCGAGGAAAGCGATTCGAATACTGGAACGTTTTTGCATATAAAACTTTTATAAACATTGAAAATAAATTTTTAAATAAATAATAACCGTGCTATATCTCCTATTTTGAGATAGAAAAAACTATAGAAAGAAGAAACATTTTTCAGAATTCACAAAAATCACCAAAGGTGAAGTTTATTTTGTACATTTAAATAATTTATTAATTATTTCAAACATTAAAAAGGAATAAATTTTTAGTTAAGCGTGATTAATCTAAGAACTTAATAGAGTTTAATTGTGACTCAATTGAACAGTTATTTGAAATTTAAATTAAATATACCTATGTTCTTAAAAATAAAAAACATATGACAGGTGATGAAAAATAAGAACTTATAATATAACTTTTATGTTTAATTTAATAGGTATATTTATAAATACTGTCAGTATAAATTATCTATTATTAAAAAAAACTAGTAAAAATGTGAGAAGGAAAATTTCATTAAATACTTATTTGACATTCCATGTTTTCAAAATATTATTTATTATATAAAAAATATCAATAATAATAATAATACGTTCCAAACATTTTATTGATACAGAATAAAAATAATACGTATCATTCGAGCAACAATTCTATCAATAATAAATTTAAAATCATAAAACCAAACAAGTTGCCTCACAATTTAAAGTAGGCCCTTCAAACTCAATTTGTTCAAATTGCGTATGGTCTCTAAATAACTAAGTAATCCATCTAGACAGCGAATATTATTTTATTGTAAAGTTGGACTTTTAGCAATTTGATGTTGATGATATATTATATAAGAAGTAGTTTTTATTATTCCTAATATTAAACTTACCTAATAATGTAGTACTGATAAGTACTTATGATGATCTTTTTTAAATAATTTTCATTGGATCTGAATATATATATCATAGGTAGATACATATTTTAGGATTTATATTAGGTATATCAAAACAATACCTCTGACTTGTATGATAGAAAACGTTTTCAGTATCTTACTTCTATACTCTCTACTTATTTATATTTTGCATTCTTTCGCCATCTCATTTCAGCGAGGAGCCGTATGATCGCGCTCGGGTTTCTTCGCTTTTAAATTAAATAAATAATGCATACAATTTGTGCGCAATAAACTTTGAAGGTGTAGGTAGGTAGTCTTTGAGCTGAATTTCGCACGCCCGCCCCTGTGGGAACAATAACGGTTTGTGATAGCTCTAAAATGTTGCTGTACCAACTAACATCAACTGTAAAGAAATTTTTATATACTTAAATAATATTTAAATAAAGCTATCACAATATAACACATAATAAAAAAAACATGTTGGGTAAATTTCATTCAATTTATTTTTATATTTTTGTTTATAAAATTCGTTTACCTCATACATATATAGCAAAATCGGGTTTCAGTTTTATAAAATGTCTTTTATTTATAGTAAATTACACTACTTATAATTACTCAGATTTATCTTATATCAACGTCTACTGGTTTTTGTATGTAGAATATTAGAATGTTAGAAAAAGTTATATTTTAGCACTGCGCCGATGTACTAAAGGTACGTTCACATCAGTGTAGACTGAAACATTGTCATATTTCCAAACACGAACCCGAGTTTGAACAGTACTGACCTGCCCCTGTGTGACCACTTCCTTTGTATAGTGTTTACAATGTATAAATACTAAATAAGTTGAACATATAAACTGACTGACTAGAAAAGATAGGTTAAAAATATATAAGTTTAAATTCTATAATAGCAGATGGTTTCTACAAGTGTAATCAAAGAATTTACTTATTTAAGAACAATTTGATTTTCTTTTAATCTCAAAGTTAAAATTGATGTTATGAAAGTTTCGTATCAATAAACTTGACCAGACAGGCCTATAACTTAAAAACTTTCAACAAAAAAATATTTACTTTACGTCATTTGTATATAAACAAAGCTTTTTTAAAAGCAAACTCACTCATAACTTTACGTCTTTTGGTCTTACGCAATATAACAGATACAAGGACAACAATTCAGGAAAAATTATAGTTTAGAAATAAATTTTATTAACCTGAATGAACTATTTTAAGCTCATATATATTTTTATTGGTATCTATTATAGAGAGTTAATTTGTTTGTATAGGTAAAGATATATTAAACGACTACTTTGCTTCTGTATAATTACGAGCAATAAACAACTTGACATGAATTTATTAATATCAACCTAACAACAACATAGTTTGTTTGAGTTTAACCTTTAAGTACCGACGTGGGGCCTGAGAGGCCGCGGCGAGTTGACAAGTTGTTAGTTTTACCGCTTCCCCGCGCACGTGAGCCCCGTGCTCGTCAGTAGCTGCGAGTTTAGTTGCGCCGACGCCGTTGAGAGTGGTAGCAGTGCCGGCGAACACAATTTCGGTAAGTTATCTTGTTTTGAAATTACGACGCGGCCTCTCAGGCCCGACGTCGGTACTAACGTTAGTTTTTTGTTTGGGTCATGAATGAAATTAAATGCTTGTTTTCAGAAATCTATCAGATAATTTGAAGAATGGATGTACCAGGGACATCAGGGGGTAAACGTAGTTTATCTACGGATGAATTACGTTTTTCCAAAAGACCACGGCGTCCTATAAATCTCTTGGATGAAAATAACGCGGCGTTGATTGAGACCTTGCTTGCAGAAGACTCCAGCGGATCAGAGATAGATGATATCGGAGAAGATTAATAAAATAATAAAATTCTATAATTCCACAAACGGCGGAGTAGATGAAATCGACAGAAAGTGTTCGGTATACACTTGCAGCCGTCGATCAAGACGTTGGCCTCTGACACTTTTATATAGGATCTTAGATATAAATTCAGTCAATTCACATATACTGCATGATGTGCATCTAAATAAAGGCACTGATCGCGGTGTGTTTATAAAGCAGTTAGCTCGACAACTCGTATTAGACCACATGAAGAGAAGGGTGTTAGCCTTGCCTCGTGAACTTCATATGAGTTTAGGGAGAATACTCGGTCCTGATATGCCAAACACAGAGCAAGGTCAAGCAAAAGAAGAAAAAACAAGAAAAATATGTGTCCCTGTCCGCATAAATTAAATAGAAAATCTACATACCAATGTTACTCATGTAAAAAACATGTTTGTTTACAGTGCGCTAAACAAATCTGCACTAATTGTGACTAACTTTGTTGTTGGACATTTTTTTTATTTTATGAAAACAATTTAAGTTTTATTTTTTTTTTGAATAGACATAACCTTTAAGTTTAAGAAAAAAGTATATTTCATGGTTCCTAAGAAGTATTATTTCTTTAATTATTTTTATTTCGGGAAGTGCCATTTTTAAGTTTAGAATCGGAGCCAAAGTTTAAAGATCATATAATTTCAAAGTTTAATAAAGTTGATTATAATAATTGTCTTTGTTTTCATTTATAGATCCCAAATTAACGATAAAACTTAAAAAATAGATGTCTATTGTACATATTTTCCATACCACTCAGTGTTTAATATGCGGCCTCTCAGGCCCCACGTCGGTACTAGTGATACAAAAAAACCACGTCGGTAGTTGAAGGTTAAAGTGTAGTGTGTACAAACTAAATAAAATACTTTAAATACATATTATGTACCTAGCTAACTTATAAGTGGAAAGATACATGTGGCGCCATCTCTCCAAGACCAACCACAAGTACCACAGCAAAAGATCCGAAACAAAATAATATTTTTTATTTTATTAAATTACTTTTTATGTACACTTTCATTTGTTATTATTGTCGTAAAGTATTATTAAAAATAATAGATACACCGAATTTTGCATTCTGACAACACTCAACTGTCAATTTAAGAAAACAGAGCTATATAAATTGTACTTGATAACTGGAACATTTGTGAAGTACAAGTTATATAGAACATTTCACAATATTATACTGTTGATACAAACTCAGATTCGGATATGATTATTAAATTGTTTTATATCGTCTTTGTTATAACATGTGCAACTTTAGTCTCGGTAAGTATTACTATGACGACGTAAACCAGATCTAAACATGTTCCCTTAATACATCCATTTTGTTTACATATTAAACTTTTTTTGTTACAACCATAGTATCATAACATATTTTTTAATATTTGTCATATACATATAGATAGAGAATATAATAAACAACCATTTTCATGGTAAAATTATTGTTAAGGTTCATTCACTTGAAAAGTTCCTTATTTAATTACAGGCTTCATATGAAGATAAAAGATGCAAATGTGTATGCCCCAGTCCAGCCGCTGTTCTCAACAACACAGTGGGTTCAGACCGGAAGTTATACATTGGCAATGTCCCACCCAATAAATGGTTAGCAAAGTTATTACATTGCAGTTTGGTGCAGAGTAACTGCAGTGGTTCAATCATTTAATAATGGACAATTCACCACCAATCATTCATTTAAACTGTTACCTTGCATCCATTAATGTAGACTATTTCTTTACATTTTTATTATATACTAGAAGACCCGGCAAACTTTGTATTGCCCTATAATCAAGAAATATCTGTTACGACTTTTTATTTACATTTTTGGTGTTTACCTATTAAAGCCACAAATCTCCATGTTTTGAAGTGCGACAGAATGATAGACATATTAGTTAGTTGTCAAATCTAATGTCAAAATAAAACGTTTGTATCAACAACTACTAATAAATTAAAAATTAATTAAAAAAACATTGTCCAGCGGACAAAATTGTCAATCTAAACCATTCCCAGATCCCCTTGAACACACACAAAAAATTTCATCAAAATCTGTCCAGTCATTTGAGTGAAGTTCAGTGACATACACACTCACAGAAGAATTATATATATAAAGATATATACATTTTTAATATATCTCTGTTAGTAAACTTTTTCTATGCATGTAGAACAAATTATGCAAGTTATAAATATCCAATTTTTAAAATATAGTGCTATAGAATATACATTATATTTCAGTAATTGTGATGGAGTTATTCTTCCACGAGTTGGTGAATTAATCAAAGGCCGTGAACAAGAATTTTGTCCTCGCTGTGAATGCAAATATGAAAACAGGAACACCACAATTATAAAGGTAATATAAAGAGTTTATACTGTCAACATAAAGTCTTAAGTTGTATCATCCATACCATTTAATGTTATAAATATATAAGGTTGATTTTTATTTAGTAATACAGCTGCGTGCAAAAGTATTAGGCACCCCTATTGTTAGTCACTATCTCATTATATTGCGGTCAAGTGTGTGTTTTATGGTTTAGCTATTGTATTAACGGCAATTTTTAACCAAATTAAGATAAAAGAAAATATTTATGACATCCAGGTGTGCTCCTAAGCGGTGTTTCTTCGAATTTGCTTTTTTTGCGTTTCGGGTTATAGTGTGTTATCAGTGCTTGCAGTGAACATACACGTCTTCTACGCAACTATTCCTATCACAATTCTAAAGACTAACATTTAACGTGTTAATCATGCCGAAAAAATCTGAACTTAGTGCTGAACAGCGTCTAAGAATTAAGATTTTACATGAACAAGGCATGTCTCAGGTTAAAATAGCCCGAGAAGTGAAGTGCTCGCGATGTGCAGTTCAATATGCTATAAATCGCTTCAAAGAGACTGGCACCCATGAAAATAGACCAAGAACAGGCAGAAGAAAAGTTACTACTGAACGGGAAGATCGATTGTTGATTAGGCAGTCTCCACAAAACAGGAAAAAAACTGCTTTAGAGCTCGCTGCAGCATTATCTGAGGCAAAAGGCAGCTCAGTGAGTGTTTATACTGTGAGAAGAAGACTTCTTAAAGCTGGATTAAAAGGATGTAAAGCAAGGAAGAAGCCGTGGCTGTCAGAACACAATAAGAAAAATCGGTTGGAGTGGGCACTCAAACATAGAGATTGGTCAGTGGAAGATTGGTCCAACATACTGTGGTCAGACGAATCTAACTTTGAGGTATTGTAATTTATTTTATGTACAATATTAAAACACATAAATGTTTTTAAAATAACGTACTGCAAGAAAAAAAAATAACTTTGAAAATAAATGGGTTTTTTTCGTTTGGCATAGGTGTTTGGAACACCCGGTGTGACTTATGTTAGGCGAAGGGTTGGCGAAGAATACAACCCAGAATGTGTGGTTCCCACTGTTAAGCATGGTGGAGGCTCAATAATGATCTGGGGCTGCATGGCTGCCGACGGAGTGGGCGAAATGGTGTTGTGTAAGGGACGAATCAATAGTGTTAAATACACTGAAGTACTGGAAACAGCACTAGCAACGTCGATAACGCAAATTTTCGGTGATACAAACACCGATGGCCTGAAATTTCAGCAAGACAACGCCACTTGCCACAAGTCCGCGCATACCATGAAGTGGTTTGCTGAAAATCATATTGATCTTTTGGACTGGCCACCACAATCACCAGACCTCAACCCGATTGAGCATATTTGGTCCATTTTAAAGAAAAATATCCGCAGGCACTCGATTAGCAATAAACAAGCTCTATTGGCCGCGTTACAGCAGGAATGGAAAAATATATCAAGAGAAGAATGTTTCAGGCTGGTAGAGTCAATGCCAAAAAGAGTGGCTGCGGTTATTAAGTCAAAAGGTGGACCTACAAAATATTAATTATTTTCTTAAAATAAACCATTGTAATCATAAATGCAGTTTTATTTACACTCGCTATGCTAAAACATCCTAAAACTTGTCTTACGGTAGGGTGCCTAATACTTTTGCCCGTGGCTGTATTTGTTAGTTATAGTAAACTATCAAAAGAATATAACTTTAAATTTTATTGTTTTGCTCTTGTCTATAGGTTTAAAAGGATTGAATAGATGTACACAAATATTAAGTGGTCCTTAAAATGTTGCTTGTCTCCAAATATTATTTATTTTATATGAGTGATTACATTTAGTGTTTCTTTATTGTAAAAATTAATCTTGTTTCTTTTACAGGTCAGGTATATCACAAATAATAATAACACTATTATAATTTATTGTTTAATCTTATTTTTATATATAAAAAGTTTTAAATTGAAATATAGGCAATAGATATTAATTAATATCTCTGTTAAATCCTTTTCAGGTGGTAGTCATCATTGTAATTTGGGTTATTATGCTTCTTGTGGCATACATGGGATTCCTCATATGTCTGGATCCTCTCATCAACAAACGTGCAAAAGCTTCATACCAAGAGCACACTAATGAGGATGTAAGATTTAAGAATTCTGATTATTTTAAAGTGTTTTCTGCATATAACATAATATTTCACTTTATTTATTAGCTATAAGACTTATTTGAAAACCCATAAAACTTTTTTATATAAAGCGATTCTTTTCCTTAAATGTATCTATCAACAGATTCGCAATCATTAATTATGAGGAACACTATTGTATTATATATTAATTATTCCCATATTGTTCATTTTATTAAAATTTGATTGCCCAAGTTCTTAGAATTTATTATTTATTTGTATATGAATAGGTATTATGGAAAATGAAACAATCTCTTCATGGTATACCATTTTATTGTCATGGTTAATCATGTTTTTAATGATTATTCTTATTATCATTGAAATAACTATTTGATTACATCATTTTATAATGTCAACTGCTTTTAAGGATGAAAGTACAATCAGTGGGCCATCACATCACATGGGTGCCCGAGGGAATGTTCTCAACCGCGTCACACACCAACAGGACAAGTGGAAGCGTCAAGTCAGGGAACAGCGCCGTAACATTTATGATAGACACACTATGCTCAATTAGGAAAGAGCTATGGTACCGATTTGATTAACCAACCAGAAATCTGTATAACATTTGTAATTTTTTATTATTTATAAATGAAATATTTAATTATCATGGAGTCATTATTCATAATTTTTATTAATACAATTCCAATTTACGGCAAATATCATCAGTCAAATGATAATTGCAATTGACATTCTTTTCTTAGTCATTTTTATTGAAGTTACCTCATTTAGGTTGGAAAATCAATGTGGGTCCATTTATATATTAAACTGTGAAAAACTTGAATGTTCATCAATATTTTATACAAACATATTACATGTTCTTATTATACACCTTAGCTTATTTAGCATTGCAAAAGCCTAAAAAAAATACTTGGTAATCACTGGAACTGTTATTGTTCATCGAGATGTAATAAATCTAAATATTATATTTCATATATACATGTTTCCTGTTAAAAATGAAACACTTTGAGATCTAAAAATTAACTTAATTTATAAAACATTAGGATTCCATAAAAAATATTGTCACAGAAATATTATAGTAAATTATTTTGAGCAATAGTTTGAGAGCAGTGGCTTAATGTTTAGCTGTATAATAAATATGAATTAAGAAGAATTTGTAATTCCTTAATACATATATTAAAATACTTTCGCTACAACATTTTTGCTGAGTATCATGTATAGATGTTATTTAAATAAACAATATATTAAAAAATAAATTAACAACCAAACTGATCTAAGTGGCATAAATTTCACTGATCTTTTAATTATTTATTTATAAACACTTAGATCTATAGCTTTAATATTATATAAAAACAAAGACACCAATTATAACACATCAATATAAATAAATAGTCAGCCATTTATCATTAAAAAACTTATTAACCTTATTAATATTTAATCTTATAAGTATTAAATAAATAAATCACCATATAGTAGTTAATGAGTCTTTTCTTTAACTTACTCATCAGGATCCACAACCATCATTAATAAATTTTCAGACTGCAAGGAAACAAACAAAATGTAGCTTTAGTAGTAAAATAATTTTTCTGTGTAATAATGATTTAAATTAGACTTCAGTATTTGACTCCTTAGATAGTGAAAAATATTATATTTTATTAATGATAAATTTAAAAAATATTCATGACTTTCATCTCACCTCCTCCATATCTCCCTTATTTTGATTATGTTGTGTTTGTTTCCTACTTATTAAAAATTCCAGGAACACCAAAAAAATATAATAACCTACTAACAGCATCACCATCCAAACTACTAATATGACCACAACCTAGAACAAATACTTTGTTTTATCTAAATGAACTTTGCATAAAATGATTACTTAGCTGATAAATTCATAGGATACTTTTATGCCATATTTTTGGTTCTAATTATGAAACAGTTTTGCAAAATCATGTTGGTGTATTGAAAAAATATTAGACATGATGCTTAGGACTCAGGAACACATTAATAATTATTGTGATTTTATTTCCGTAAATTAGGTTACATTAATTACATTTTACAATATAATATTAAGTAATTGAAAATCTCTGAAAGTTGAATTGTAGGAAATTTGAGCTACTTTAAAATTGTACTATGTACATTGTTATGGTTTAATTGCTAGTTATGGTCATGGTCTAATTCTGATATTCAATCTTAAACATAGATTTAGGAGTAAAGCAGATTATATGGATATGTTTTGTTTTATTTTTATCAATTTCCTACATTAAATACAATAACTTTTGTTTATCTTTCTATCAGTTTATTATGCACCATTAAAAAATAGCAACTACAGTAGAAACTCGATTATCTGGACTGGACAAGTCCGGACAAGAAAAAATGTCAAAGCATATGAAAGAGAGTGGTATTGTTGAGGGTGGCGTATGTCAAATGACAATTACCAAATATTCTAAAGTCTAAACCAAATTAAACTTATTATTTTAATTCATGATTAAATCTGCAGTTTTTAGTACATATGTATCTGTATGTATATGTAATCTAAGAAAATATATCCTTTAATTATTTATTAATAAACATAGATTTTTGTTGATATGTATTTGTTACCTTTTTATATATAAACATAATATTAAGTACTACATATGCACAAACACGACTTTACTTCATACATTCGATTATCTGGATTTTTGATTATCTGAATGCCTATTGGCAACAATGAGTCCGGTTAATCGAGCTTCTACTGTAATATCAAAATTGGCAAAGGAAACATTTCTTCAATTGTAGTTCCTTTACAACTATTAGCATGTACTCACCATGATTATTGTAGTATTCCTTGTCTCATATCGACAGTCACATCTTGGGCAAAACATTTGTGCATTATCTTTTATCTCATCGGTTACCTTTGGTAAGATAACACCATCACAATTACTACAACAAAAACAATGTTGATAGCTTTAATTTTAGATAAATAATGCTATAAAAATATATAAAATTTCTGGTGATATTAATAAATTGTGTTTTCCTTAATAATTGCTTTTCTTTATTAAAAAAACTTACCATTTGCTTGGTGGAACATAAGCAATATATAATGTTCTGTCCGATTTTGAGCTATTATTGAGGCTGACAGAAGCTGGAGTGGGACAAATACAACGACATCTCTTGTTCTCGTAAAATTGGGACTGCAATTCAGTAAAACAAAATTTAAACGCACCTTTTTATCTATCTATTAATCTTAATTTTTACTCACCCTAACAGCCACACTCAGAACCAAAAACACAAATAGGAATTTTAGAAACATTGTGTAAGTATGAGTTTAGCCCTCACTGTCTAAATTTAATTAATTTTTAATTCACTTTTTCAGTACTTTATGAAAACTGCACCCTTTAAAAAAAGGTCCTTACAAGGTACTTGCATGTAAACAATAACACGTCAATAAATTATTTGACAGATCTCTTTACTGTTAGCTGTATTGAAATATTTTTTAAATTGAAAAGTACGTATTTGATTTAAAAATAAAAGTTAACCTATCATTGGAATAAAATATAACACTACTCTAAAAAGCCACAAGCCGTATAACCAAACGTAATGGTTGTATAAATAATTTAAAAGATATTTTTCTTTATTTTATAAAATCCTAGCTTCCGCACATACATTTCATACTTTTGCGAATTCATTTATAGATATAACTAGAAAAATATCAATTATTTTATAATTTTTATGTTTATATGATGAGGCTTTCATGAAGTAACCAAAAGTTATAAATTAGTTGTATTCATTTTTGTGCAAATAATATAATTATGGAGAATTTTTAGAATAAACATTTACTGGAATAGGTAGTCATTGTACAAACAGATATACAATTTACATTTGTATCATAGACGAACTAAGTTTATGGTCACATTTCTTATGAAATATAAGTTTAAGCAAGAAGGTATAGGTGGCGTTAGTCGTTCAAATAATGTATAATTGGGCCTATATTGCGGTCTTGCATAGTTGTGTGATACGCTAAACTCTAAACTTGAACCGTGCTCTGTGGTTAAACACTGAAGCGACATGAACAACTTTGATCCAAACTCTTAAACTTATGGCGTTTAGTACAATGTTTGATAAAAACAAAGTATAGACAGGTTCTTTAAAGCCAAAGTGTTGTGCTAAAGTTAAAATTCTTTAAAAGAAATGAGTTAAATCTTAGGGTAAGTAACAAAGAATGTAATAGCAAACACATTATTTTGCCATTCGCAACCCGAACCTATTAAAATTTTACCGTATAAACTTAGTAAATTTTTATTCTTTAGTTACAATATATATTAGGATCTATATTTACATTGCCGACTAGATAGTTCGTGGTTAAACAATTCTTTTTACTTTATAATTCCACTTTAAAAAGCAATTATACACTCGAAAATGTTGATAAACATTTAATGAAAATGTTTTAAAAGCATAGTAAGAAATTTGCAGTATCAGAATACAAACACATTATACCATATACCTAATGATTAACTTAATGCTTAATGCTTCAAAATGTTAACGAAAAAGCAAACTATATAAAACACCATGCACGTATTTGTAATTATATAATACGAAGTATTTTAAAGTGTTTTGGCTAGTTTATATCAAATATGTCATTCACTTTTGACATGGGTGCTATAATTTATTATCTGTTACTAGGAATACAGATATAACAATTTACTATATTCTTTAAATCTTATTGCAAAAATTATAACATTAAACCAATTTCTATGTCAAAATATATGATTATTTACATTTTGTTAAATTTGGACTGCTATACTAATAAAAACAAAATTACATATACAAGCATTCTTAACCATGTTAAATACAAAATGATCATTTATTTAACATTAAAAATAAACTATTTATAAAAGTAATAATAAAAAAAAGATTTATCTGCTTATCACAAACATATTTTTATAAAACATTCAAATATTTTTATCTTAGGTATGTTATAGTAGCAACCCTTAAATGCAGGATCCTAGATACAGATCCCTGAGACTAAAAAGTTAATGCTGTATTGATTTAGTGTTCATATTATGCACTTCACAATTTTGGTGCTCTTGTGAAATATCTCCCAGAATTGGTAATTTTTGCAACAAATTTTCTTATTTTAAATGTTTTGTGTTGTTGTTGTTGTTATTGTTTACCAACTTGTCATTTTCACTTGTAGAATTGTTTATTTTTGAGGAATAATGGTTTACATTAATATTCACACCAGTATTGATTTTTCATGTGCACACCCTATCCTTCATTTTAATATTTATGTAGTTATCAAATGATATGATTGAAATGAAATTTATTTTCTCAATTTCTATAACTCATTCAAGGTAGTTTTATTGATATCCTATTGGTTTTGGGTATTTTTATGGGCTTTTTTGTTATTTTAAATAGATGGTTTAATCTATTGTGCAAATTAAGTTAAAATTAAACCCATTAATATTAGCATACTGCTTAAATGATCATAAATATAAAAGGGTGAGATGTTGTTACTATGATCAGTATAAGATAATATTAAAGGTCAATGGTCAACATCACCTAAAAACTTTAAAAATATTTAGTAATTAAAACATTATAATTAGTAAGAAATGCAATGACATATTTCATAACTTACTATTGATTGAAAATAAATTTAATACATTTTTAAGTATGAACACCAAATGAATCTAAATTTCCCTTGTAACTGTTGGCGTGATGAATTCAACTGTGGGATAAGGCATCTTACAATCAGCATGATTACACAATGTCATATTATAAAAGTGTTATTCTATGATTAACATTTAGTTTTTGCTTGAATGGATCACCAAAAATATAATTTTACAAGGGCCATAATGATTATGTAGGACTATTAAGGGGAATATAAGCTAAATCGCATATACTGAAATAAACTTTAAATAGCATATACTGAACTTCCTAATTAAAGGTTAGTAGAAAGTTTGAAGTTGGTCTATAAGTAATCACGGTAACCATTGAATATTGAAAAAAGGACATAATTCATCAAAGGTAACTAGTAATCATAACATCAATATGAGTGACAATACAGAGGGTTTTGTGCGCACTCATTATAAATGAATTTTTTTTACAATAAATCTATTTTTTTAAATGGGAAAATAAGGCAACCGAGCATCTGCTAGGCTATCTAGCCTACCTGATGGAGGTAGTACCGCCCATGGACATCCGCAACTTAGAATTGCGGATGTGTTGCTGCCCTTGATTGGGGTAGAGGGGGAGGGAAAAGTGGGAAAGGGAGGGAAAGGAAAGGCTGGGAAAAGGGAAAGGACAACCGGCTCTCTCACTCACCGGACGAAACGCAGCCATTAAAGACTACTTCATGCCGAGTTTCTGTGAGAAGGTTGTACTTCCCCGGTCGAGCCAACCCATGTTCAAGCTGTAGTAACTTGACCACAGCTGAGCTATACCACCTCACAAAATTTATTTCTAATTGATTAATTTATCATGAATTATAGTGACAAGAAGTTATAGGATTTGGAATACGTGTTCAAGGTCTGGATGACATTTGGTAGCTCGCAATAAATAATAAAATAAGACAAAAGTTTCATTAATATGTGTCCTACGGTGAACTAAAAAAATAATACTGAAAATGTTAAACGTAACCATTGGATCAAATTTTGGTTTCTTTGTTTCAATAATTACCAACAGTAAATACAATAAATATTACTGTTATGATGACTGTCCCCATTATCAGGATATGCTAGACGGGTATCTGAAAAATATGAAAAATGTGCTAATTAAAGAGTATAAATGGAACATATTTAAAAAAGGATTGTCATAGTTGCCTGCTTAGGAATTAAACTGAATTGAATGAATCACTATAATCACTGAATGTGAATGTTAAATTATATGAAAATGCTTGAAAAACTCTTAGAAGATGAGTTTATCAAAGTAAACCTAATAAAGATTTCTAAAGAAAAATTTTGAACCTTGATAGAGATCATTTTATAAGAAAGTATTCCTGTTCTCAACTATGTATGTCTGAAAATGCAGTTGTTTTAAATTTTAAAGGGTGATATAAAAGACAATTTTATTAATTATATTTGTCATTCATTGCTAAATATGGATGATTGATAAAATTTTAGGCATAATACATAAATGTGGGCCTAAGAATTATCGAATGCGCAAGCGACTCCGGGTGCTCCGCTAAAAGAACGAGAATAATCTTTGGGAGTTTAATGGTCTATCATATGAGCTTCACACATCCTCTTTGGTCGGTGGAAAGTAATAAAATGCTTCACTATTAATAAAAGCAAAATTTAACCCAAAGTAGTGCGGAGGGACTTTTTTTGAAGTATCTTTGCAGATATAATAATATAGAGTCCTAAAGAGAATGACTAAAGTTTCGTTATGTTGATTGTGACACCGACATTATACAATTGACAATACAATTTGCAACTGGAATGTCTTACTCACTATGAAGTAACAAAAAAAGAAGTCCGTGGCCCATATCACATTTGAGAAGATTATATTTTGCTATTATTTCAATGCAAATAGTTCTTTGCAGCTTTGAGAGTATATGACTCAAGTGAGTAGATTGATTTATGGGTTTTTTAAAGAAGTTTTTGTTATTACAGACAATGGGGGCGTGTTGCTGTAGCGAGGAGGTCCCGGAAGAGGCGGCCTACGTTCCTGATCTGCAAGTGAGGAATGGGTCCATTACCGAGACGCAGACTCGACTGTCAAAACTCGTAGATCCCAGGATTGTGGATCAACTCGTCCTTGAGATGCTTACAGTGGCAGCGTCGAGAGTGGATACGTAAGTACCTGAATATAATTTGATATAAATTTAAGGAAACGATGAATTCAAAAATATATAAACTACTTGGTTATAATTTTTGGCTGTAAGATGTTTTAATCGTGAAATTTACAAAAATATATCAGAATTATAGTTTTATGATAGGTGATTTTGTTTATTTAAGATTATTTCTGTATTAATATAAAAAAACGCATCAGAATCTTAACAATCTTACACAAAATTACACACAAAGGTTTAGTTTTGAAAATCGATAAATTTAACAAAATTTTATTTTTAGTTTTACTTTAGTTTTGATTTCTTTTTTAAATTTGATTTAATAAACAAAGCAGCAGTTGTTTCAAATATTGCTTGTTTAAACGTATTGTCTAGAAATCTGTGTGGCAGGTTCTGTGAAATCTATAATAACCTACGAATGTCTGTCGTGGCGTGACATAATGGGGTATTTTTAATGACTTTGAAGTGATTTTGTGATATAAGTCAATCAATAAACTATTTTTAATCCTGACTTATGTCCTCTAATTGTCATGCGATCTAATTTTGTAACATTCATAACAATCTTACGGGTTTTGGGCAAGAATTTATTATGTTTGGAAATTTTTTGGATAGTAAAGAAATACAGATTGATTCCGGCTTTCCTTTTGATGACATTGTTAACATTGTGAATGTATTCATAAATATATAAACCATCAAACAATGTTCTTATTACATTATATATTATTACTTTGTAGTTATCAAAGTTAAATGAATAAAAAATCCGTATTCGTGGACTTTGATTTTATAAAAGTCGACTTTATAATTTGTGCATAAATTTAAAAGTATAAAGACGTGCCACATAGCGGAGCATATGCAATTGTCAACTGTCATATTAATTATAATATTTTAATATGTAATATTGTTTTTTTTTCTTAGCTACAATTTCCTGTTAGTTGATTTTGTTCTTGTATTATCTAGAGAAAAAAAGACGTAGGACCATATATTAGCAAATAATTCGTTTTGCCAGTTGCTATAGATAGGTACAAGTATAAAAAAGATGCTTTTGCGATTGTTAATTTACCATTGCGATGAATATTTTGTCTTTATTTTTCTTATTTATATAATAGGTATATGAGATAATAGTGTTTATATTAATCATATGCGGTTTTATCTTTGACTTTTAGAATAAAAATGTGTGTATGTCACTGAACTCCTTCTAAACTACTAGACCGATTTAATTGATTTTTATATGTATTTTTTTGCACCAGCCCCAGATTATTTAGCTGCACAAATCATTCCGGCAGATGGCGTTGCAGTCGGTATTTAGGTTTTCACATAGTATACATTTGTCTCTGAGCGCAATACTTATAAAGCGTATTACCTTTATCTTCTACCTGGCAATTTCCCAGCTTTTAGCCAGGGTCTGCCTTGGGTACATGTTGTGAATAGTTTTGCCTAAATGTTTTTACGACCGGCCGCCTGCCTGACATCAACCCTCTTTTGGGAATCAGCATTAATCAGTGATGTCTAAATACTCTTAGAAAGTACATATGACTCGGAAAAATCAGTTTGGTACTTGCCCGGGCCAGGATCGAACCAACGACCTTGGCAACGAGAGGCGGTCCCTTTAACCACTAGGCCACCACTGACTTTAAAGCGTATATTACCATTATAAAAACTCGATATCACCACGTTTAAGAAATTTGAGGCAATTTAGAAATTATATGAAGAATTGCCACTGCTTTGTTTCTCGTTTATTCTAACACATTACGACAAAACCAAACTAATTTAAAAATAGAAAGCGAATTTTTATTTATGGCGACGGAATATAAATTTATAATTTGTATCTGACCTTATGGAATTATCCATTTACTAATATTCCACCAATCTTAACTGTGAATGGGATGATTATACATGAAATAAACGCATCGCTTTTTGTCTAGAATTATTTATAAAGGGCTATTATGGACTCATTGGTTAATCTTAATTTATATATGTATTATTTATGTTATAAACGTTTCAGTGACGAGGAGTCTCCGGTATCTCTCGTCAAGTTGCACGTCATAGCTGACAAGGAAGAGGGTTGGATCCAAATGGTCACTTCTATGGTGAACGTTATACCGCTCGAAGACCCATTCGGCCCCACGGCCATATCCATACTGCTAGATGACTGCCCACTTCCATCGAAGGAATCCGTCATCAAGGTTAGTCAACGAAGAACATATACAACACAAAACCTACATACATTGCATATTTAACATGATTAATATGCTTTTTATTATACGGTGATAATAATACAGACGGTTGTGACGAACACTGTTCTATACAAAAATATTATCACATTTATAGAACCTGTTCCAGTGACTTATAATTTATAATTATGAGTATATTAACTCTATATACTAAACGGAGTTTCTTCTAGTTTTCTGTTCCTATATATGATTAGATCTTTAAAATTACGCAGCAGATTTTAATGTGATTCATTCCAAAGTATATAAGGATTCTTGGGAAAGATTTATGTTTATAATACATCCATAATATAGTAAAAAAACATTGATTATGTAGTGGTTTCTAATGTAATGTCAATAAGAAGTAACTTAGGGTGGACTTGTCTGTCTTATGTATATAGGAGTACCGAAAAGTACGCGATAGCATATTATGGTCTATCTATTAATAAAAACTTGTACTTAAATATATTTTAATATTTTAATATAATTTATTTACGTTCGCTTGAGTACTTCATGAATATTATTTTTTCCCTCTACACTAAATAAATTTAAATAACACCTCGGGTGATGTAGCAATATCAAAATTAATTTTGTGTCGCCGTAATTGGCCGGGCGGCGCCGTCCGGACCGGATGAGGGTGTGGGAGTTTATCCGACAGTTTATTAAGTTATACCTTAATAAATATGATGAAATAATGTACGTGGAAAATTCCAAATTTTCATATGTTGCTATGTATAAGAATATAAAATTATATGTTATAAAAAAAATGTATAACGCGTAACTTGTTACCGATTTAAACAGTGACTTTGTTCAATTCCATGTTTACGTATACGCAAATCTTTTAATAAGGGATTAAGTATATTTTCTTTATGTATTGGTATTATGTAACTCTATCAATCCTTACCAGTCCGGTCAACCCAGATACTTGAAGGTGCTTTTATTCACAGCTAACTGAAAATCAATAACTCTAAGTTAAGTTATTTTCATTGCCTGCAAGGAAAAATATTGACTCGAGGTCAAAAGATAAATGAGTTTTTCGCGATCTTCAACGAACCGGTAATTTCTATCGTAAAAGTACACGAAAAAAAATTGTAATAATATTTTTTCCTATGAGCGACCTTTTCTGAGATAAAAATTTTCAAAAACTAATTACGTTTGGTGGCAGCGAAGGATGCAAGAAAAATCCATTATACTTATAAAATATATTCAATTACCAATTAAGACTTAAATTTAACTACTAGCTAGGGCGGGGTCTTTAAGTCAGCGATTGACTTAAGACCCATTCTATAATTAAATTTTATAACTAACTACATACTAAAGAGGTGTCTGTAAGTCAGCGGTTGACTCCAGACTGAATATATGTTAAATCCCATTCTTCATTCTCACCGATGGTGCAGGGCGTGTGGTGTCCACTTCACTTTCCCATTCCCACCGATGGTTTAGAGTCAGCATTCCGTACTTTATACAATTGTTATACCGAAAACTTAATATCTGGTTATGCTTGCGTAACAAACTCATAAATATTATTATTGTCAAAATATGCTCGAGTACGCCACCTATGTACATCTCCCGAGCTGTTATATGTATATGTATGTATGTTGATCTTTGTCTATCGGTCACTGTAACTTATGCTGGAAATAAAAATATACACTATTTATAACAAAAAAGAATATTTTTTATTGAATTCTAAAAGCGACCAAGGTCTTTTAATTATTATTAGACGTCGCATTTTTATCATACATTTTGTTTTAAAGCCTTTTGCAAGTCTTTTTAGGCTACTGTTTTTTTTTGATGACGCAGAGAAACTCTTTTTACGAGCCGTCCAAGCGGCCTTTGTTACTGGCTACTGCTATTGATTTATGTTTACATTTGCTAAAACAGTTTTATTTTTACCTTTGACCTGCAGTATGATTGCTTCCACAAGAATGACGGGGAAATTGATTTTTTTATTTTAAATTAAGTTTTGGATAATTTTTCTGACTTTCAGCTTATTGTGAATTATCGCACCGTCAAATAACCGTATTGAGCGAATAAGTAACAATATCTCTCGCTGCTACTCTTCATCTGTCCGTCAATTTCTTCTCGACAAACTCATAAACTACACCACCTAACTAGAGTCTACACATAAAATTTCGTGTTTGTTATAATGGTAGCGATAATTGGTAGTTAATTAAAACTTTTCCAAATACAATATAAAATATCAGAATACATTGAATGTTTAGAACATAATCGTTAACAGTCCACATTTCCATTACCCATACCCAGTATGTAAACTTAAAGAATGGTTAATTTGTTGAAAAAATGTTTTAAACGAACTCGGTCATGGTACTTTCCATTCCAAAATAATGTAATTTTTGCATCGACTATATATCTTTTTTAATATTTCTATTATTGTAACTATATATGTAAGTTATTGTTATTTTATCAAGGTGACTCATCTATTCGAGTTGTCAAGCGAACGCGCTACCTCCGAGGATCTTAACGTCCGAACGGAGCGTAATATTTGCGTTATATTGGGCTGCATCGCTGAGAAGCTGGTTGGACCCAACAGTGTGGCGATACTTACTGAGGACACACTCCAATATCTACTGGCTTTCCTGGTGAGATTATTCATACTTTTCATTTGACATTTCAATTTATGTGATATATGTGATTGCATTTTGTTTCTTCCTAATAGAAATTTGTGAAAGTAAAGGTTGGATCATTTAAAACTAAATTAATTTTGAAGTTTTTCTTCATTATAATATGCATTTCTGACACCATTAAATATAAATAATTATTAGTATTACAATAGAATTTCTTATAAAACAAGAAAATTAATAATTTTTTTTGATATTGAGTAGTTTTTTATTAGTTTAGTAATTCTAATTCTGTTATATAACAAAGCTGGTCATAGTGAATATTTATATGTGTTCTCAATTTGGTCATAATCATCATAACTGACAGGGTCATAGACCTTGGGGAAAACTTCGAAAAATAAGTACTTGTACCGAACAAAAACTAGATTATGAATAAAAATATATGTGATTTAATACGAAAACGAAGGAATGTAAGATTTATATATTTTACAGTTTATTAATTTATTACAGCTTGTAGATATTTCTGATATAAAGAAATGTTTGTTATCAGTTTTACGAAACAAACAAGTCCAAGTAATTAGTAATTTAAAATAAAATTAATTTTAAGTGAAATATCACTATTTACTATTTGAAGACAGGATAAAAATAATTATATTAAAAACTAATGACAAATATTCCGCAGATATCTGTTTTTAATTTCATTCGCCTATTTTGAATAATAAGAGTGCAGGAATTGTCTTTACATTATTCTAAGCAGGGGGAGCCCCTCTTTTGTCTCTAATCTTCTGTGTCAATCTTATTATTAAGTTATTTTCTTCTACTTCAATAATCTCCTGATTCATTGATCAGCTCTCGACCAGTTCTCATTTTTTATAAAGAAGAAAGTTTTTTTTCTATTTTATGATGTGAAAATAAGTCCGTTTGAAAAACACAAATAAAAAAGTGTGTTAAAATTAATATTAAAACAAATTATCATTAATATTGATGAAAATATTCTTCTGTCCTATTACATACACAAGTAAATTTTATTTTATTTTCATAAAAAATCTGTCAATTCACTAAATGTTAATAATTGTATGTTTTTTTGCTTAAAGCGAATTAGTTTAATGGAGTTTGTTACAATTTTGTTTCTTCCGTAATCTATAATATATAAAATAATTGCCTAAGACGCAAGGTGGCAGACTAATGTTACATTATAAAATAAATAGCTCAAGATAATGTTTGCAAAATATTCGACGTTTGTATACCTGTATGATTGAATCGTGTCACTCCTAGACAAAAGAGTATAGAACTACATATATTTAGCTAATTTGTTTAACAAGAACAAAGAGATTTAAGTTTTTTTTTTACCAAAACGTTAATAATATTTTTTTCTCAAATTTATGAAATGCTTACTAGTCGAATAACTTGTTAAACCAAAATCAAAATGGATAGCATTTAATTGAAACAATATTTTCAGACAAACGAACAAGAACCGTGCATTGTTCTGTTCGCTTTGATAGCGCTCGAGAAATTCGCTCACACGACAGAAAACAAATTGACGATAAAGAATCGTCTGGAGCGAAACGAAGAACATCCTTTACTGAAGTTGGAAAAACACAATCACAGCGAAAACTTCGTGTGGAGGCAAGTTGGCTTCTGTGCCAACTGGGCTTTGGATAACCTTTGTAAGTTTAGTCAAATTTCACTAATAGTATTCTAACAGTTTGTATATATAATTGTTTGATATAGTAGGGTCAGAACTGCTTAAAAGTTCAGTCAAAATTTTGCACTCAGCCGCTTTACTGAAGCTTTCTCAGATTCTTTTATTGATAACTAGCTGCGCCCCGCGGTGTTACCCGCGGATTTCCGGGACGTAAAGTAGCCTATGTGTTATTCCTGGACGTCAGCTTCCTGTATACAAAATTTTATCAAAATCATTTCAGCCGTTTGAGCGTGAAGAAGTAACAAACATACACACACATCCAAACTTTCGCAATTATAATATTAGTAGGATCACTTCACCTTTAAGAAAGATATTATCGGCGGTCATAATAAATACGCTTTATATTGTTTGAATACTTTGTCAACAATGTTACGCTTGTTACGCTTAATGTTACGCTTTATATTGTATTGATATTGTTTGAATACTTTGTCAACAGTTACCATCGAGGGTCGCACGTTGTCTTACATGTTGGAAGACATGTCCCAGATCAATGCTCTGTTGAATTGTCACGACGTGAGCGAGTACCTTCAGATGTCGGCCAACGGGCTTGAGGCGAGGTGTGACTCGTACTCCTTCGAGAGTGTTAGATGCACCTTCCAAGTAGACAACGGCTGCTGGTACTACGAGGCGACGATCGTTACCTCCGGAGTCATGCAGATCGGATGGGCTACCAAGAACAGCCACTTCTTGAATGATGTAAGTTAATAGTGCTTTATTTGTCCTTCTTCTTCTATCTGGCAATTTCCCAGCTGTAGCCAGGGTTTGCCTTACATGTTGTGAATAGTTTTGTCTAATTGTTTTTACGAGCTGCCGCCTGCCTAACATCAACCCTCTTTGGGAATGCATTAATCAGTGATGTGTAAATACTCTTAGAAAGTACATATGACTCGGGAAAATCGCATTGGTACTTGCCCGGGCCAGGATCGAACCCGCGCCCTCATGCAAGAGAGGCGGGCCTTTTAACCACTAGGCACCACTGACTAGTGGTTTATTTGTTCGTTGTTTGTTTTATCCGTGTTAATTGATTTACTTTAATATTTTTATTTATCAATCACTTGGGAACAAAAAAATCGTGATTGAATTAAAACTATGTACTATCGTTATTTAGTGTAGGGTCTAAGTATAATTTGAGATTTTTACAGTTTTAAAAACAAAAGAAAACTTAGTAGAATGAGAAAAATCTACTATAAAGAACTATACAAATTCCCTTCAATTTATTATAAAACTTAATAAATTAAACAACTCCTAGACGTTAAGAGTACTGGTGTTTACATGCTCGGTTCATTGAAAATGTGTGTAATATCATGAAATATTAAATAATCAAGCATAATCCAACAGTACTTTGTACATGTAACTTACAAAAAACAAAAAAATTAAGCTAGTAGACCAACGTCTTAACTCTAATCCAACAGTACTTTGTACATGTAACTTACAAAAAACAAAAATATTAAGCTAGTAGACCAACCAACAAAGGGGATCAATGAGTTGTTAGGTTACTTAGTAATGTATAATTAATTTTCATACAATTACAGGAGGGCTACGGTATCGGTGACGATCTATACTCGTTGTCCTACGACGGCTGTCGTAGGTTAGTGTGGTACAACGCCAAGCCCGTGCCAATATCACAGTTACCAGCTTGGAAGCCTGGCGACATACTCGGCTGTTTGATCGATCTCAACCGCAAAGAGGTCGTGTTCTCCCTCAACGGCCTAAAACTATACCCCTGCAAGGAGATATTTGAAACTACACGGTGATTATTTTATGAATTTTCATTAAAATTTTCATACAAAATAAAATTATTTATCATTGTAATTGATGGTGCTTGTATATTTAAATAATTCTCCCCTAGCTGCTGAATACAGTATACTTGTGATTTTTAGATATGGCTTTTTCGCTGCCGCAAGTTTCATGGCATACCAGCAGTGTATCTTCAATTTTGGATTAGAGAAATTCAAGTATCCACCAACTGATAGGAAATTCTCCTCTTTCAATGATCACGGACAACTTACTGAAGATCAAAAGAAGGTAAATTGTTTAGAGACTTCTACAAAAGTTCTCAATTCCACTATATATAAATCTAACATACTATATGTATAGTATAAATCTCTTCTCCCTAAACGCGATGGATCCGGCACCCGCACGGTGAATCCATTGAATGCTAAAAGGTTTCATCTTGTATGTGTATAGTAACTGTTTAGACTGAAATTATATAACGAACTGAAATACAAGATAGAAAGCAAAACGACCTGAATTTTGCTTATTGGTTTATCATTTAACGTAGTTGGTAATCTTAAAATCCAAGTTTATTATTTTGTTAAAACTTCATTCAAGTATTTCTTAACTTCATTATTAAAAGTTAATTCTTTTTATGGTCTATTTTTAATTTTGCTACGAGTGAATATGACGATTTTTATGATAATATCGTTAGAGTCGATGGTGAATACTTGTGAAACTGAAACCATGCGAAGGGCAAATTGGACAAAATATTTGTTTATGCTTCTTTTCAATGTGAATCTTTATTATTTTATAATATATGTTTAATAAACATTTGATTCGTTTAAGGTAATACCGAGACGCATATACCTCGAACAGCTGAGATGTTCGAGCGTTCGAGAGGATTCGTGCCAGCTCTGCTACGACGAGATAGCATCTTGCGTCTTGGAGCCATGTGGACATCGGTAAGTACATATAAACACATACGGTTTGTTTAACGTAATTTCCACTATTACTAGCCAGTGAATACATAATATGTTATAACCATAAACATTCCCAGCGGCTTCTGCTCGGTGTGCACGTCCCAGCTGAAGGACTGTCCCCTTTGCCGCGCCGACATCATCAGCATCAAGAGGCAAGACACATGACGGTTTAACCGCCCCTTCAGACTGGGCAAGGCATCTAGAAAGACCCATCAGAACAGAAACGCGGACCAAAACCAACGGAAGAACAAAAAAAAGGCGTCTAAGAAGAACGCAAAATCTAAGCCACCAATGCCCTGTAACCCGCGACCGTACATACCCCCTCTGTCCATTCCTATACCGAACCCCACGAGTTATACTGAGGAACTGATGGCCTTTATTGCCAGCGCCTACGCAGGTCAGCCAGGTACGTCCAGGGCTCGGTATATATCGATGGTTTCCAGCTCTTCGGAACCCAGAAGCAGTTCTTCGGAGCGCCGCAGCGTGTCCTCCGATCCTCGCAGCAGTTCATCCACACGTCCACATTCATCCACATCCAAATCCTCTCTATCCATGTCCAAATCATCCCCATCTCCTATAGATATCATCGCTGAGCTTGATCGTCAGAACGACTGCACCTTAGTCCTCGGACCCTCCGACAGACGACAAAAACATTCTACTCTATACATGGATTAAATGTATTTTTGTGCATTCCCTATTCAATATATATCTTACACGATGTTTACATTATGTAGAATCTAATTCTATTATAAGACTATACCTTGATAAAAAAAAAATCTCAGTGTTAATTATAGGATAAACTGTTAAAGTTAACGTCTCAATGGATCCTGTTTCTTGAATCAGACAAAATGTCTCTATAATTAATTTTTATATGAAATTAAGCTTTAAATTGCATTTCGTTTAGACAATATGTATTGTTCATTCTTAACAATACGTAGATAGTAAGAATCTTAATTATGATGCATTCTCGATCGTTTACAACTTATATTATTTAGATTATACATATATCTATACCTAGCTTAAACGGGTCACACATAAACGGCTTGTTATATATAGCATATCTTTTGCCAATGCAACAAAATAGATATTTTTATTTTATTAACAATATAATTATATCGAAGATCCATATATTTCTTAACGCTTATTAATTAATAACACTTGTACATATTATTGAAATATTAGATCAAAGTCTACTATTCCATACAGGGTATTGAATGAATTATGCCCATCTTTTTATTAGAAAATAAAATTTACATCAGACCAGAACAATACTTTTATGTTCACATAAAATTGTATTTAATTGTCCAAACAAAATCCATCTTTTTTATACTCTAAATATCTTATTAAAATTTGAAATTCTACTTTTGTCTTTCAAAATATATCTCGACAGTTTATATATGGAAGTAATGTATTAGTTTTTTTTTTACTTTTTGACGTGTTCCTAAAGATTGGACCGAATTTTTTTCTGATCTAATATTCATATAAACTTGATTTCATCCAAAAGTATTTTTAAGTATTAAGTTTATCAGTATCAGGCAGTATTATGTAAAGAAATCGGTGAATATTGATATCCTATTAAACTTACAAAAAATTAAAAAAAAATCCTATTCCTAGTAGTTCGACCAGACCTTATAATAAACAATGTAATTTACAACTATTTAAGAATATTACATATTTCTTAAGTGTTGTTGAATATACGTCTTCAAACTAATTATATTATACCCCAAAATAGAATGTAGGTATATCCAGTTTCAAACACACTGGTTGATGACTTTTAAATGTTTACCTTAAATGTCCCTGAATGTGAAAAAAATAAATAAAAACAAAATAAAAAAAAAAATACGTAATCAAGTGTTTACCAGATACATAATTTGTTTCCTCTTTATCGAAATAGTATGTGTGTTTAAACTGTAGCCTACAATTTAATTAGATGTTTAGTGCCAAATGCAGATCGGTCACAGTTAAAAAAATATCCAATTGAATGTTGGAAATTGATCCGTAGTATAATGTGTATTACTCTTATAATAATTGTGGATATAGTGGTCTACAATAGTTGAATACAGCTACTCCTTGAGAATATAACTTACAAATACTACATTTCTACATTCAACTATTTTTCTTCTTTTTTTAACTTTTTTATTCTCTGGATGAATTTTTTTCGTTAAATCTCTTTTTTTTTCTTTTGCTTTCTGAAACTTTCTCTACTTTTAGTCTTCCAAGTTTTAGTCATCACAAGTAACTTTTTTTAATATATAGAACTTTTACTTTGATCTTTATATTCTCAAATTTTTATTTATATATTAGTTATTCAAACACAGCTTACGTAATTATTGGTCATTATTTTTTAAATATATTTTTTAATCAATTCTATCACAACCGATCTCCCTTCATGCATTAATGATATGAATATAAATAGATGTTTCGCGTACGATTTAATAAAATAAATTAATTGTTTAAATGTTTTAAAATACATGTTAAATGTTATGTAAGTCTTCTTCCCTCCCTGAATTTCCGTGTCCGTACTTTGAATGTATACAACATTGACGTAATGAAAAAATGATTCGAAATTCTTGTTCTAATAATATAAAAGTATAGTTATATGTTGTTTAATGGGCTGTATGAGTTCGACGTATGTTATGAGTGACTGTGATTGTAATTAAGTCTTAAATACTCTAATTGGGGGACGTATGTATTTCGGTATTTTTTTCTAGTCACAACTTGAATGTAACTAGGTTAGACTGGATATTTGATAGGTTATTCGTGTAATTGTTTCAATTGATGGACCGTCAATTTCTTCACTTAAATTCATTTCACAGTCTAAATATATGAAATGCTTATTAGATTTTCTTTTAAATATATCGCGAACGCACTTTGCGTCAATTTTTATTCCTAGACATATGTCCTTTTGAAGCTGAAGCTCTAGTTTGATGATGATTCAGGTTGTGCTTAATATAAGTTCGGTTTGTTGATGAGTACTGGATATATGATGAACTCTTTGTGATGTTATAAATGTTTGTAATAAAAAAACACGTTAGTTATCGATTCCATAATATATAAACACACCATATCAATGTTTTCCTGACTTTACTTCTCGTTGTTTCCATGTTTATGACTAAAAAATATACATGTGTACTAGATATAATAGTAATTTAAGGACTTCCTTGAAATTTGAATCAGTGTCATTAATTGGTGTATATGTTAAAAATAATTCTTAATTATAAATTATGGTTTAGCTTGTTTAGCATATGTTATTATGGCATATTATGTTTAATATTCTTTTTTGTATATCATGTATTCGGTTAAGGTTCGATTTTCACTATTTTGAAGAGTTATCAGAAATTTCAGGTCTATTATGACGCTTTACTGCATTAAATTCTGTATAAATATCTAGCTGTAATAACATATATCGGACCTAGATCGAAACATGCTCTGTAATCTATAACCTTACGAAGAGTTTGCATTGTCCAACTAAATACACGTCGCTTGTAGTTCTGTATTCGTACATTTTCGCACATAACAGTACCAACATAGTATATAGACGAGATCTGAAAAATGATTTGATAAGTCTAAACATGCAAGCTCTTGGTAACGTTATTGCATTATATTGGATATCCAACTGAAAGTCGCTTCCATTTTTGCTAAACTGACTCTCGCTCATATACTTTGAGTATCTGTTTGAATCAAATACGTTGTAACAATGCAGAACGTAGTGTATTATGTATTTTTAAGTTTTCTCTCATTGAGTTTAAAAACTATCTCTACCGACAATGAATATCTATTTAAGAATGATTTGCATAACGCTCAAATGTTTACTGTAATTTATTTTATTAACAATGTTTTGCCTAATAAATGTTATATTTTTGAATAAAGTATTCTAAAACTCTTCTACTATAACTCTTTTCTTTCATAATACTAATAATCAAACATATGAAAAGTACATTTAAAGAAAGATGTCTAAAATCATCAAATTGAGAGAAAATAAGTGTGACAGAAGTATGTAGGTATAACGTGTAGTCGTTTAAACTTGTATTTTTCAAAACTAAACTCCTAATAATATTTTGTTTTAATAAATTAATTATAATAATATTGCTTCGAAATATTACAAGTCTTACTTCTAGAAATGAACAAATATAGAATCAAAGTAAGAAAATCTGTTACTAACTATTCCTTTTTAATACATATATATACATATTGTATAAAAATTGTTACAAGTTTCTATATTATTTATAGATATCAAATAGAATTTGAACTATTAACTAAAATATACTGAATGATATTTTTCTTCGAACTGCGTGTATACAAAGACCAAACAATTAATTTTAAAAGTTGATAAAAATATTGCTTCAGCGACTGTCATTACGAGAATATAATTAACAAAATTTTGTCTTGCTATGTAATTTATCTCTATTTTATAATAAAAGGCTAAAGCCAAGTATATACCTTTTTATAAAAAGCATCGCCCCATAAAAAAAACTATATAGAACTTTATTAGTGAGAGATACTCTGAGATGTACGGTAAAAGGAATTATCTCTTTATGTGTCTCAATCTTATAATTTGTATCGTTATGATTTAAACGTAGATTTGTTAACACGAATCTGATATACCAATAATCAATATTTTAAAATTTAAAGCGACCCCGTTCTTTGCTACAAGTTTTCGACGATCGGGGTATCGTCGAAAACTCTTACGTCGAAACGTCGAAACGTCTTATTGATTTTGTCGTGTTGCGGCCTTTTATGATAAATAGGCTGTATAAGAAAAGTATTTTAAGAAAATTTTGTCAACATCTTATTTTATCCTTAAAATACGTAGGAAGAAAATAAACGCACCATTATTTGTACTCGATTTACTTTACTTTTATAACAATTAAATTCTTGTGGTGTTGTCTCAATTAAGCTCTATTATTATCTCAAAAAGGAATCTTAAAATGGCGACTATTTTTATGGTCATATGGAACTTGCGGAGTTCGCACAATATACTGGAACATTAAATACAATTATCTTGAACTAGATACGTGAATATTGTCATCTACTGTCTTGGAATATATAAATGTTACTAGCACATGCAACACCAGAACATTTTTTATAGCGTTTGATTGATAATGAGAATTAATTAAGTCATGTTTCCTGATTTCACGTAACTTTTAAGTATTGAAAAATTTTCTTAAAGATTTATTGTATTATAAGAAAAATAATTAGTATCACGATTCACTATTGAAACGTTAATAATGAAAAAGTCAACGATTGCAATACGACTTCCTACACAATAGAATAGAAATATCTTGAAAATAAAATTATTTTTAAAGAGCATTCTATTTAAAAAAGGTAATGGTTGTTGTAAATAAAAGTATATATTGTGGAGCAGTTTTTATTTTTTGATATCAAACACGAAATTGACGATCGGACGCCAGTTCCTCCTCACTGTTACCTGAAATCACAAGAATGTAATTAGCTATCAAATAACCACTTTATCAACATAAAAAGTCATAAGATTTCCAATTCATAAAATGCAGGGCAGTATTCGCATTATAAATTACCCTATAAAGTAACAAAATAAATATTAAATTTATGTAGTGCGTAATTATTACAAAGGGGCTAAAAAGCCACTGTAGTTGATTATATTAACCTACACTTAAATAACATTTTCCTCCATTGATGTAGGCACTAAAATATTTTGTTTTGCAAATCTTAATAGGGTACATATCAATATAAAAACGTTATTAAAATCCCATATAATAAAAATACCATTATTTGATCAGAAAGACAAAAAAAACACATATATATTTCTACCTATTATGCAATATAAATGTAAGAGTAAACATTACAAGTACTGAGGACCTGTTAAAATATATATTTTTACAACAAATGCTTACATCTTATGTATGGTAAATTATATATTAATGTGAGTTATAAGCAATTACAGAATCACTGTTGTTTGAAGATACAAGTCTTGAACGGCTTGAAGTCAGTCAAAAAATTACTTTAAAACAATAGTCCAATGTAGTTAAGGATCTTGTTATTAGATATGACAACAGGAAAATCGCTGTAAACTGGCAAAAGGAAGTCAACAAAGCTGGCTGTGATATGATTAGGAGACATTTCACAACCTCTTTGTCGTCTTCCTAGTCACCCGAACAGCTCCGGTCGATAGTAGTTGATGACTATAAGACATTTGTCGCTCATCAAAGCTGGCTGTGATATGGGTGTAAGACATACGACAACCACTTCGAGAGCGACACTCGCCTGCACTGTCTTCTGACGCCACAGCTTGCCCCCGCGGAGATCGGTCACACAGCCCAACTCGTCAAAAATGGCTGTGATATGACTATACAACATTACACAGTCATTTTTACGAATGGGCCATGGACCATTTTTGTGTGTTACATCCATCGTCGATCTGCTAATGGTCTCCGTAAACCGACCACATCAAAGTGGCTGTGATATGAAGGAGATAGGACATTTCACATCCGCTTTGACGGGTTAGATTAGAGAACTTATACCTTTGTCCAATCTAGATGATGTTGTTCTATATCAAGTTGATACAAATGAAGTCATGCTCATCAAAGCTGGCTGTGATAGCTACATAATGATCTATAACAAACCGACTTTGATGACAAGACCGCATTTAGTCTTCCAACACTTATTCTTCGTATGCACAATCTTAGTATTACAGAATACTTCAAAATGAGAAAAGCATTCTCGTAGATAAGCCAGGTCGAACCATCCTTAAAACAAATCACAACAATAAACACATGTATAATAAGTCACAAAACATAGGAACAACTTGTTAATATCATGAAATTTAAATCACATTATAACTAAAAATGAAATGTTAAACATATTTAAAAAAAATATTCAACAGTCAATGGCATGAAACGTCAAAGTATATTATTTTTTAATCTCTTCCAAGGTGTAAGGTTTTTTATATTATTATTTTAATAAAAAATTAACCAATAGGAGTTAGGTTTTATAAATATATGTATTTGTCTATCAAGCTGATATCAGAAAGATTTCTGTCATAATATACATAATAATTCGGTTTGACAACAAAATATATAAGAATAAAACATACGATTGTTTAAATTTTAAACGAGCTGAATGTATATAAAGCATGTATAATATATATACGTGGCGGGTCATGTTCACTGCATAACGAATTCTGTCATCCCTCAACTGTCGAGAGAAATAAAATGTTGGATGTAGGCGACAGATGTCTGTAGAAAATCCATGTTTTTTTTTAACAGAATTGTTGGTCGAAAACGAAAAAATAAAGTTGAAGCCTATACATATATCGTTTAATCTATAATAGAACTTTATTTATTTAGTAGCTATAGTCAACGATTGTACTTTTAAGACGTTAAATGTAGATACGTAGATTGATAAAATATATTGCATCTAGCAGTTACAGTGGTTAACAGGTTATAAATAGATTTAGAAGGAAACAGAGAAATAATTATTGTTGTATTTGATTAATTAAAGTACAATACTTTATTTCTTCAATATTAAATTCTTCATCTTCGGTCTTCATTAAACTCCTGGCAGGTTTGCGATTTGCAATTATTATTCTCCTTTATATGTAGATGCTATTAAAAAAAATAGAAAACAAAATAAACATCTTTAAATTATAGTTATCGTAATTTTCTGTATAAATATATGGAATATTAATAACTATAAATTTATATAGATAATGCTTATGAAATGAAAACAAACAAGTTAATGCTTCTCACGCTTCAAATATTGAGATTATTTTCGATTTATTTATATTTAAAACTTTTCTTTGTATGTTTTTTACAAAACAATTTCAATGTTTATCACTTGTTACAAGTTTTTGGATAAAATAAGAATGCAAATAAACTAAAAATATGAAAAAGAGTATGTGTTTTCATTTGATTTTGTAGTCAAGCCGGTCTTATCATTAAGAATGCAAAGGATTTTGTGGTTGCAATTGAACAATAGAAAGCTCTGGAATGTTTACTAATCACCAAGTTACCAAGCACTTAAAGGATTATCGAATCCGTTAATTGTTTTAAGGCCGGAGTTTGAAAGCTATTCATTGTCCAATCATCTTTAAATAGTAAAGGATGATATATGTGACTCTTTTATATTTTCAATATTTCTTACATTTCAAGTGGTTTAAAATAATGGAAACAGAAACTAAGCCACGGAGACACATATTATGTAATTAAATACAGGGAACCTATAATGAAACAGCAAATAATAGTAGTAGTTTGAAACATTCGTAATACAAATAATAATTAGTGGTAGCGTGTTTAATTTAAACCTAGAACTTATACAGATATGAAGTCTTATTAGCGTATTTGCTTTAACGTTCCTAAGGTTACGTCACGTTATCATTATAAATGTAAACAGATCAACCGGTTTATAAATAAAACGATGGTAACGAACGACGTAGTATATTCTGAATCGATCACTGAACCAACGCTACAATAAACATCAATAAGGCAAGCCGTTCATATTCTCTAAGCTGTTGTATGTAAGAAAAATGTTCAACTTTGTTAATATTATGAAAACACAATAGGAATTGTTACGACGCTAAAAATACGGAAAAGATGTTAAATAATCTGTAAAGAATGTTCAATTCACAAAAACAAAACTTATTAAATGCTGATTTAAATTTTATGTAACAAGGGGAATTCAAACAATTCCAACTGGTCGTAACTTCTGTTAACGACGACCAAAGTTCAGACGAGCTATTGATCCATGAATCCGTTACTGCCCCCCCCCCTCGCTCTTTTGTCTACAAAACACCCACCATAACAGGGGTGCGTCTGTGTTCTTCATCGTTCATATATTCAGCATCCACGAGAATATTTAAACTTTTATAAAATATATTTTGTTATATGTTTATGTCTATGGGTCCTAAATGGATTGTGATTTGCTATTTATATATTGCTTTAAGGTTTATTTGCTTTATTTCCTATAAAAATAATAAACTTGATAAAATCACGTCTGCAATTCGAATGTTGATTGAAGACGGAGGAAGTTGTCTCTGAGATAAGTATTTGCAGTTTCTTATTTGATTTATTCCAGCGACATTCAATTCTGTTTCACCGACGAGCTACGGCGATATTGAATTATTTCTTGTCTACATTTTTATTCCCATAAACATTGGAAATGGAAAATGATTTCTATAATATCGTTTAGGTTCATATTTATAAAATGTAGTGAACATTTTTTAATATATATTTACAAAAATAAAAGCAACTACTTATTCCGTAAGATTTTTTAAGGAATATCAACTAATATTAAATTATGAGTGGTAATAAATGAGTAAAATTTTATAAAATTTACAAAGGGTGAGTTTGATATAGTTGTATGTTTTGATTTATTTGACATGTCTTGTTTTTTAACGGTAATTAATATCTATGGTAATGAAAATTCAAAGTTAGGACTATGAAAATTCATTAAGATCTGAGCACAGTCCTGAACACATAGGACATAAAACATCTATAAATTATCACTACTCTACAAAAGCTCGTAAAAAATAAGTCATAATTACTTGATTTTCAAATAATAACAAAGTTGCTATAAATACTTTTACGTCGCCAGAAAACGAAAGTTTTGATTTAAAATTTAAAGTAAAGCAATATCTGCGACTAATATCGTCACTAAGAATAAAATGTCGGGAAAAGAAACTATCATATCTAGCTTTCTACATAAATATCATAAAATAGTTTTTAAAATAATGTACAAAAATTGAGACTGTATTTACGACAGCAAAACTAAGTACTAAAAAAGGGTTTTAAGTCTGTTACGAAGCATAAGTACTATTTCATACAACATGGATAGCTTTTCGGGTCTGATCAGCTTTAGAATTGACAGAGACATGGCTCAGCACTAAAAGCTTTTAAGGATTTAACGTCAACTTGCGTCAGACGGGTGTTTATTTTAGTCACAACTAAATACTATTTGACAATTGTAGGTCTAAAAACCTGAAGCAAAATATATGTATGTTTGAAGTACCTACTCTTTTAAAAGCTTTTAACTGTCCACAGTAAATTGAATTGCAAAACATTAGATTAACAGTAATTGATGTCTGAACAAACTGGATTTACAAAGGATTTTTCAGACGTATCTAATTATTTTATTTGACAGTAGACTAGTTTTTGATCTTTATTAAAATCACCCCTATATAATACGTGACTACGTAGCAAAACCCAAACGGATGCAAGTTCGACTTGAATTACTTAGTCATCTTAAAACATATCGAATGTTCGGCTTACCAAGATTAACTGGAGAGTTGAAAATTTAAGTTTGAAGGGAAACTTCAAATTAGTTTTAGATATAAAGTTACAGTCACACTACTGACTCCAAATAGGATTTAATTTTAAATCATTTAAAACTTAGAAAGGAAGAACGAGCACGACTAGAATTGTATTAAAAATTGATATATTAATAACTTTAATTATTTTTTTTACTTCTTTTGTATAAGAATACTTGAACGAGAAAAAGTGAAGAACCATTGGCTTGTAATTCCGGATTTAGTTGGTTTGAGTGTCAGAAATATATGATAAAATTGACGAACCATATATTGATTCTGTCAGGGTTATTGACGATTTAACAATATTTTTTTAAGAATATCAATTCAAACTTTAAGGTGTATCAAATAAATATGTATTAAGTTTCAAGAAGTATTGAAGTATGTTATAACTTTTATGTATACTCGTACATATTTTTTGGAATATCACCGAGTTAATATATTCGCTCCGAAGTGGATAACGACTTAAAAGCATTATTTTTTTGCTTCCTTTCTTCTAGTACCTACGTATTTCACTGTAAATTTTAATTTATCTTGTTATTGTCGTTTTAATTCATTTCTATTTGATTTCATGTATCACGTACGAGCATTTTTTTAATTATTGTTTCCAGATTTATAACTTAACACTGCACTTTGTTAATTTTATTTATGTACTAAGGAATTGTTTATAAGTGGTGTTTTTACAAGAACGAGCTTATGTTGTTTCATAATGAAACGCACATTTTAGTAAATAAAAATGAAATTTATCAAAACCTAATTATATAATAAATAAATTCAATGCAATAGAAGTATATAAAGAGATGAGTGATGACTATGAATTTAAAATTATTGTTTTAAACCCATATTTAATGTATTTACTAGGGCCTCTTTAAACAATTTATTAATACTTGACATAAGAGAAAAATTTTTAAGTGACACCTTCTGACGGAGGTAGCATTTTAGTTGCGATTTTTGCGATGTACGAAAGAGTAAGCAAGCTCTCTTCTATAAAATCCTATCGTTAACGGAAACCAATTAGTTTACATATCTTCTTATTTCATTATTTATATTTTTTTGGGGAGTATCTGTAATATACTTTTATATGTACCTATCTCTTAAATATTTCAATCTACATATAAGCGTCTGATTACGACCAGTTATAATATGTTGAATACATAATATAATATTCAATTATGTAGATCACAAAATATGATAACTTTTGAATATATAACATACTAAATGAAAAAAACAAAACAGGTAATATGCGCTTAGACCATCTTGATATCTTCTGCAACCAGGGGTCCGAAGAGTTATGCTCAGTCCGCATGAAAGACAAGGTAGTGAGAATTTGGATGTCGTGGACATCTCACGACCTAGGTCTTTCATGAGGTAAAGAGCAAAATTCGGTGGTATACATGATGCAACGACAACAGCGTTTGACTCCAGCAAGCTCGCTACTCAATATATTATATATATATATATTACACGGTTACATAACAAATATAGACACAACTTATATAAAATAAAGATATTCAATATGTATAGAGTAATATTCTTTTATAATTTCTATTTACAAAACCAATTCTACAAAAGCAACCACAGCAATATTTCATTTAATAGATGCACATAAGTTAACAAAAGATAGTGTATCTTATTGTTTGCGATAAATATAATAAATAGTAATTTTAAGGGATATAAGCATTTCAATGAGGCATTTATCATGATATCAGATTTTAGTTTGTAAACAAAATAGTACTACAGATTATGTATAACACTTATTGAATTACAGTGTCGGGTGGTGAAATTGAAACAATTTCATTCATGACAGCTATGACTGCTTTGACCTAACTTACGTAAGTAAAAATATTTTCTATTGTTCACTTCGATGTTTCATGGTTACGACTTTTAACTTCAAATATTTAAGAGTTCTTCTTAGCTTAGGCTAACTTCAATGCGCCAATGTGGAGAATTTAAAAAAAAATGATATAATATGTTTTTTAATGAAATGCTTCTACTTTAAAACTCCTGTGTAGACCATATACAATAAAGGTCATTTCCTTTCTTTTAAAATTACTAAGAAAAACATAAAAATTATATCAGGTTTATATTATTATTATTTTTATTATTTTTATTTATTTACCTTTCTTGTCTCAATAAGATTTTAGGTAACAGATTATGAAAAACTTTTGTGAAAAGTTGGTAATAAGTTGTTCGATTAAAAAAATGTGTCATTATTATCTAATTTACCGAGCTTGGAATATATCTCAGACATCATAATATATGTCAATTTCATAAAATTTTAAGTAAATAGAGTGAAAGGAAGAGAAAATAATTTATGAATTTAATTTTGTAGCGTATCCTGAAAAGGAATGAGAAGTGATTGAAAACCCCTATGTTATATGATTCTGTTAAAACGGTTTATCTTTTTATATGAACATACGTCAGATGTGCTATTTATATTGCATGTAATATTCGTTATTCAATGTTACACACTCGCATATTTGTTTATCATGATATGTATTGTTTTGATATTAATTATAATTACGACGAATAGATAGGTAGATAGATCTTAATAAGATTGTTTTGTAATCATCTTGCATAATTATATTCATTCCTAAACTTTTATCACTTAGACTTTTTTCACGATACTATTTAAGTGGTATAAAATAGTTTTTGTTTATGGATATATATTTTGTAATACAATATGATATCAGAATCGAAACTTGGAACAGATTGTGTCTATTTCGTAATATAGATCAAATTGAAATGTCCGTTTATTTCATAATTAAATGACTTTTTTAGTTCATTTAGAAATAAATCTATTTTAAAAGTTAATATTTTACCAGTTTGTTCCATATATTCACTGAAAGGGCTGAAGTAATGTTGTTTTTAGAAATTCCAATTGAAAGTGCAAATTATTAATTTTTTTTAAATAATGCTATGAAATAATGCTATGTAAATTTGTTTCAAAGTTTTTATAACCAGTAATATCGGTTTCCAGCTGTTTTCTTCAAATGATCCATTTAGTGTTTTGCATAAGGACTTATCCAAAGACGGCAATGTATTCAATACTGATGGCCACTTATTTTTTCAAGCATCCCTTTTAAACCAAGGTACGAACTAAAAGGGTTTATTGAAATATATATTTGTGTGAGACAAATTATAACAGCGTACTTTTAAAATTTTTAAAAAGAAAAATTCAAATTTTGAAAATAACTTCACTGTAGAAATTCATTGGTTCTTACGGAACTTCGCAGGTGACCTGGTGTTAAGAGGAAAACTTATTTAATAATTTTTTAAAGTTGTTTTTTATCTTATAATATCTTCTTTTTTTAAGAATTTTAACATTACATTTAATTTCTATCTATGGCGTGTTATCAAAATCGAATCGCATATTTTTGAAAGTAAATATTTGTACAAGAATATCTATTAATTGTCATTAAATATTCATAAAACGCTGTTGTAGAGAAAATAATGAATATGTTTTTACTGATAGTAACTTTAGGGTGGTCTTAGAGTCACGAATGAATAGCTAATTAGACCTTCGACTCAACCGTGATCTAACTTAGACCACCCGTTGTCTTCGCGATAGTTAAAGAAAAATATATAATCACAATATAATATTATATTAATATATTCATTTCAAGAAATTTAAACTAATATGATTGAAGATCATTTACTACTTATTATTGAATAACATTTAAGAATATTACATTTAAGAAACTAAGTTAAAACATTTTGAAGCAAAATGTTACAAAAATTGTAGACGTTAAAATTACGTAAAAGAATTCACATGAATGGCGCACTCGTGTGACCTAATTATAGACGTCATTGACATTGCTTCATAGACCATTCATCTGTTAATTAATGATAATCTATAATTATGTTTACAGACGTCTAGACTACGAGCAAACCCTATTTAAAGTCAGATATATATTTAGATAACACGTATATACATCGTTTACTTACTAAAGAACCTTTTGAAAGATTTCAGTCTAAAGTCAGAATTATTATTCAATCAAGTTAAGAATGTTAGGAATGTTTAAATGTTGTAAAACTGATTAAACTTTAGAATAAAATAAGACTTCCTAATAAACTGCAATTTTAAATAAAGTCCAACAAAATAGATAATCCTTAATTAAGAGCACATAGTAGTTCTTTGTAGAATTCAGTCTACGACGTTTTGTAATAAGTACTACTGAATGCGTTGAGATTGAATATGCTTTTCTATAATTTCAAATTTATCTTTAGATGCCACGACTTCATTTTCCTCTTCTCTAACACTTAAGTATTGTGTCGATTCTTTCTTTCGTAAAAATGATTAACTATGTAGAGTACTTGAAACTAATGGTATTCTATATAGCTACTGTTTCTTGTTTTGAGTGTATTCCCTCTAAATAGCACACTACTAAGTTTACCGGTTCCTATAACGGCAGCGGTTTTCTGTGCCGTTTTAGCGATCGTCTCTAAAGCCATTATAGAATTTTAATATCTTCCGTGGGGAAAAAATTTTCAATTGGCTGTAACGAGCCTTAATTGTTGAGCTTAAACTTAAATAGCTATCTAATTAAATCCGAGAGAAAGATTATATTAGTATTCAACGAATTCAAGTGAAAGATCTTTTTACTGCGGAAGTTCCGACAGGAGGTGAAATTGTACTTCATATGGAGACGAACACAATTTTAATATTTTCTTTTATATCTACTCTAGGATTAAAGATTGTTCGACACTTTAGTAAAATCACAAGATTTTAGTCAATTCAACTGAACTAGAATCTTCCTGTGTGATGTAATTATAATCAATGCGGTTTACATAGTGACTAGTGACCTGCCCCGGCTTCGGCACGGGTGCAATGCTGATGCTAAATACATTACAGAAAAACTGTGAACGTTGTAATGGATGTTATAAAACATATTTCAGCTTCGCACGGGCACTAAAACATGACATTTACACAAATATTCACAATTTTTTGCGTCAAATAAAAAAAATAATAGGAAATTTAATTCTTACATATTATTTCGTAATCTTAACCCCCCCCCCCCTAAAACTCCGTGCCCGAGTGACCTAGCCGACGAGCGGATATTTTTCAAAATTTTTAACTCGTGATATCTTTTGAATGGAATTTCAGAATCTAATAATTCAAAAAGTTATATAAAGATTTTGAAACGATCTTAAATAATAAATCATTTATTTTGATAAGTATCAATACTAAGGTACAAATGAAGAGCCTTTTCTAGCCGTGGTATTTTATTATATAAAAATTATTATATAAAAAAATTATTATATAAAAAAATCGCTTATTGTGACAAAACTATAATAGTTCTTTGTAGATAATGATAAGTTCTACAAAATTGTAGTACATCACTTGTTATATCTTCAATCGTTTTCGGAGCGTTCGCGATTAAAAAAAGTTTTGTGGTACTTTTTTTACATTATCGGAGTTTTGGTAGGGAATCCCATTTTTTTAAGCTAAATGTAGCCTATGTCACTTCGGGATAGTATAGATTTCCAACGGTGAAAGAATTTTTCAAATCGGTAGGGTAGTTTCGGAGCCAATTTGAGACTAACAAACAAAAAATCAAACCTTTCCTCTTTATAATATGTTATCAATTAATACTTCCGGCGCAATTAATAAATAGTGTTTATTGTTATTTATATTTTCTCAAATTATGTCGATTAATCAATGCTATAGTAATTTTGTTTTGTTGTTTGTACTAGAAACTTATTTTATTGATCAGGCTAGGTTATCTGCTACTTATCAACTTCCGGTGTAATCTTTAATATTTAATGTTACATAATCCTGTATTATTAAATAATATTGGTCCGTAAATAATCATTAGAATAATTAAGATAAACAATATTTAATATTATCGTTTAAGTTTGCAAATTTAGTATTAAATTAGGTCAAGATGTTTTTGTATTAATACCGCCAGTTTTAAATACATATATCGGGCATTCGTATTGTAACCGTTGAACGAGCATTACAAGTGTTTTCCTATATAACGTATCGTTATAAATATTAGTATAGATGTGCGGTCAGACTTATGTCTAACCTTAACAATAAACTATCTACTCGATATGAAGCTTGTTAAAGAAAGTTACTTCCTTGTGAATAACGTCATCTGTAGACTGTGCTGTCCAGGGAGGCCCTACTAACCCTACTGAACACTTTTGTAAAATCTATGTATTTATATAACTCTCTATAAAGATGATAACAATACGTAGTCGCTTTAAGCCTTATTTTTGAATTTTTTATTTGTGTAATCCTATTGAAATCAATAACAAGTCACATTATTCTCAATGTAACATTTATTTTAATGTATGGTCCTAATTTTTATGCCGGTATTATAATTCCGAGATAGCAAGTGGGCTATCTGCACATATATGAAACCTTCATGACCAATTTATCACACTTAGGACACACCATTTTCTATGACTTTTATATCTACCAGATTACGAGGCAACGAGGCAACAAAAGGCGACTTGAGACTTGATATGCAGATTTCAGATAAATTTCTTCCAAGACAACATTGAAAATGAAATCAACAATATATATATATATTATATTCTAAATCAAAAAATTTAAAGAGAATTTCTAATTATAACAAAACTATAGAGTTATATTATTCAAAATTAAAATAAATGGTTTGTTATAACAGTTTCACTAATGAAATGGTTATAAGTACTTAGTTTTAATATTATGGATATGCGTACACACATAGACGTAAAGCCTTATTTGTATTAAGGGACTAAATGATAGATAAGATTTAATTTTAACCGTTAATTTTTCGGCAGTCCAAAAAGGAATATTTTTTCTTTATTATGATCAAAAGCATTATGAAATGCAACAAATCACGTGGTTATAGTACTATAAATTATACGCGAAGAAAGCAAAAAAGACATAATTGTAGTCTATTAGCTACTGTTTCTATTTTCAGTTTAATGCTGGATTTAGTGCTAGTAAATTAATGACTTTGCAAGACGTAATATATCGCAATAGGTGTATTGGGGTGAGGATGTGTAAAATTGCGGAATTGGTCAGGTATAATTAATATGCATTCAATTTCCCTAGTGACCAAGTAAAAGATGAAATTTGTCGATAGATTTTACCCAATGCTTCAGCATAAAGACCAAATATATATTTACCTTTTAAAACGATATTTTGATGATTTACATCTTATTATAATTTACAGTTGTGAGTATGTTAGAAGTATAGAAAGGATTTTATTTATTTTTTTGTTACAAAATTGCATATCTTTTGCAAATATCAACTGTTTTCTAAATTAATTAAATAGTGGTTAGTAAGTACCATTTTATAATCACACATTTTCGCGAAACAAGCATTAACAGAGACATGCTTTTTACAACAAACAACTTTATTGATTATGTAGTTTTAATCCATATGTAAAAGAAATTTTTCATTATTTTAAAACTAAATTATGGGATACAGTAAGAGGAAAAGTTGTGAAGAGTTTTTAGGTATTGAAGAAGTTTCTCTTTATAAGTATATTACTAAATATTTATTTATTTACCAAGTGTTATATTGAGCCATGTATAATTCTGATATTTTTGTAAATGAATATGGACATATTTTAAAGGGATCCAAAAATCGAAATAGATATTTCGTATTATAATTCTACTGTCATCATTACAGTTGAAGGGTTTAATTGTCACTAAACTTTTCGTCATTAGTATTTCATTATCATCTCATATCTTTATCTAGTTATTTTACCAACACTCACTCAGCTATTAAGAATTTGACAAAAAAAGAACTTATTTATGGGCTTGTCAGTAAGATGTTTATACTTTATATAGATAATAAAATAAATGAAGGGGATGACTAAAAAAAAGCATTTAAACAAATAAATTAAATAACCTATATTTTAAAGGCGAAATCCTGTTTATATTATACAATAGTAATTTACAATTATAAGCGCGCACGCAAAACTAAATACACAATATAAAAACAAATATATATTTTTATTTTAAAACAGACTTTATAATGAATTTAATGATTTATTTATTTCTTCTTCATAAAGTATTCCTTTAAGATTAACTCATTAGCAGAACAGAAAAAATATCTTTATTTAAAATTAATATTGTCATAAATTTATTATAGCCGAATTTCAATATTAAAATTTTATATATTCAGATTGGACTTTATATATTTACTATACATTACATGTAAGAAAATATGCGAAAAAGGATTTTTGTCAAAAAAAAGGATATAAACGCTTCATGCTTATATCATATTTTGATAAAATCTATATGGAATTCGATGTTAAGGTTTCATTTTAAATATAAAATTTAGTTACGTGTTTTAATATTATTAAGCAACTAGGGTACGCGGTGAACTTTGTTCCACCTAAAATTCAATGATAGTCGTGGCATACATTAGATAAACTTAATTTATAATTTCTAAATGTCTGCGTAAAAATTTTTAGAGTTCCTGTATATGTGTGACTTTTTTTTAACTATTTCAGTATTCACGGTATTTAATTCTAAAATAAACCCACCATTAAATAGAGGATATACAAATGTTATGGACCTTTAAAATTATTATAAAAATTGCCATAATTTGAGAGATTTGACATGTCATTGGGATGAATATTAAATGTGTTATAATTGCCGGACATATTTATCTTTTTATTTTCTAATATTTGAAATATGTAGTTATTTTGCTACTTGAAAGCATTGCAAGCAAAATAAATAAAACGCTGAAATTAGGTTTAGACGTATTCGAATTGTAGATGAAACTGGTACGACTTTCTTTTCTATATATGGAATCAGAAACAAAAAAGAAAAGAAAATATAATATGTATGTATGCAATGTAATTATATTTTAATTAATATATTTACGAACAGTTGTAATTAATGATTTCCTTTATTTAAAATCTCGGTTATCTAAATATGTAAAGAATCAGATGGGTTGTGGCAAAATTTATATTGAAAACGAATATCAATACGTAAACTTCAACGTAACTTTTAAATCTAAAATCGTTTTCATTTTATGCGTAATAGTCCGAGTAATATAATCAGAATTTTGTATATCGCCTGCGCTAACTTCGCTGGCACACTGCCGTGTGTTGTTGGGATTTACTACAAAAATAGACAGTAACACAATAAACAGGAAGAAAAACAGTGAATCAAAAATTAAAATACCGGGGAATACAATATGAAATAATAATACTAGTTACTATATATAGTGTATAAAGTATTTGTACAATACAATGAAATAAAAATTACATGCTCTCATGCAATACATTGTGTTGTAAACGAAGCAGTCCTAAGAGGTATGTTCATAATTCCATATATTCGAATGATTGTAAATAATTTATGGAAGAATTTAAAACGTAAAAGTCAGTTGGTATTTAATATAAAGTAGTTATTATGTATGGTACTGAATAAATCGCGGTAGCACAGAATGTCGCCGGCATTACATCAACTATATAACATAATTGGTAAAAAAAACAAAA